CATATCCCTCGCCATATTTCTATCATTGCTCCCAATAAGTTCCCTAGCTATCCTAGACACAAAATGAATCTCATAGTGTTTTACAGTGAAAAGACTACATAAAAATGGATAGTACTTAACACATCCTTGTTTTCCTTTCTTCCATCGCACAAGTGAGACTCCAGACTGCTCTTTGTTGCCATCTACATCTGCTTTCATTCCCTTCTCCAGAGGTCCTTGGACTCTTCTTATACATGTGAAAAGAAACATATACATTATTTGATCTCTAGCAGGCCACTAAAGCATGTGATGAGCTCACAGCAGAGAAGCTGCTATTTTTCTCCATTAGGTGCAGTCAGCAGCTTATGCCGCAGATGTGGCATCATAGTTCTTGTTAGAGTGTGTTAATTCCTCAGTATTTACTTTTGGCTTTGCAAAATTCCATTCTTTACAGTATTTGTGTGGCCTCTTAAGGGATCCCAAACATACTGGCTAAAAATGTTTGCAAATGCCCTGACTTCAGCATATGCTGAGCACGTTTCCAAGTGGGCACTGCGCCCTGATGCCCCAGCTGTGCCAGCCCCCACTGTCACCATACATCCTTGTTATGGCTGAGTGCTACTGGATGTGCCAGAAGAAAGCAAGTTAGTCCAAGCCCAGAAAGACTGCTAGTATGATTTTCTGGAGGGTCTTTTATAGTATAGTGTACTGCTTTATCTAGGGCTTCCTCACTCTCAAACCCCAACTCCAGGAAAGCTCTGTTGTGCGAGAGATTTTGTTCACATTGTCTTTGTAGTTCACACCGAAACTCTGCCAGCTCTCCAACAAGAAAAATCTCAGTTTCATGGAGGAGTTGAGAAGGTTTGCCCTGAGGAGCAGCCATGGCTATTGCAGATAATTGAACAAGTCCATAGAGCTGGTCAGCCCTGGGAGGGTCAGTGATGAACAGTCCCTAAAAGTTTTGAGGCTAAGATACTAAGCCATGAATTGTGCCTTGACTGAAACAACATTTTCTTCTGTATTTATTGTTGATTTTGTCGTATATGGGGAAAGAATTAAAACCGAATTGTGTTGTTTTAAGCTGGTTGAGGTCATGCAGGTAGGTGCTATTCTGTGTCTTTGTGCTGTCAGTAACATGTAAGACTTTGGAGCAGCTGTTAGAACAAAATAGGAGCTTCATCTGGGAAGAGCTGTTCTAATAAATTAGCAGCCATAAACGACACAACAGAGTGAATGGAAGAGAGTTGTATTTTGTGCTGCCTTTCTTGCCTTTCTCCCCATCCCTGCCATTTGTCATACCCCAGAAGCCCTTCAGTTGCAAAACTAGTGCTGGTTCTTAACTTCCTTGAGGAACACCAAATGAGTGCACATTTTAATCAGATCAGCAATGATGAGGATTAGAACTACAGCATCAGAGTGCCATCTGACCAGTTATATCCCCCCTGCATATTTTCTGTCATTGCTTGAGTTCTGTGCCTTGACTTATAATTTAGGCTCCCTTTATAGGGAAGAAGTGCAGCTAATGAGTGCTTTTCTGTACTAATGAAATGAAATATTAAAATGGATGTGTGATCAAATGTCATTTGAGTTGCCTGAAGCTTTGCCATGAGATACTTTTGTGAAAGAGTAGCTGTATTTATCACCTTTAGATTTGCATGTACAGAGCTCGGAGTGTTGTTTGGCTACTGTGTTTGTTTTTGTTTTTTTGCAATTAACATTTTTAGTGTTCCTTATGGAGGTAGCAGCAGTGGGGATTTTATGCCACCTGTCCCTGTAATCTTAAAAATATTACATGAAGAACTAAATTGAATCAAAATATGTAGAACTAAAATAGTGTAGAGCAAAACAATCTATCTAAATCACTCATAAAATAAAAAAAAATCCACCATGGCAATTTGGCAAGGAAGGACAAAAGGGAATGGAAAAAAACAATCAAACCAGTCTTTTTGAATTATTCTTTCCCATCTGTTATCTGTGTAACTGACTGGCAAGTTCTCACACCTTCATAAGTGGTCTGTGCAACACCATGTTAGGAGAGTTTTCAGTTGTAATTTTCTTTGCAATGACAATGGTATGTGTTAAGAACACATAAGGACCCATAGGCCCCAGTTTTTAGGCAATTGAAGTATTCTACTGTTAGCCTGAAAAAAAAAAAAAAGTGAGAAATTTAATTTTATGAAGAAAGATGGGAGGATAATTTAGTTGTATTCCTCCAATGAGTACCTTTAATTATAGTGTACAGTCCTGCACATCCCCCTGTCTGAAGAACTACAAAGTTTTAATAATCCTATTTAAAAGTGCTGTTTTCATACTGTTAAAAAATTCAGTTCTAGAATATTCTGCCCCTTATAACTCTAAGATTTATAGGTTAAAGGGGTGGTTATTAAATGTGGTCACAAACCTCTCAGTGGACAAAAAGCTGATGGAATTGTAGCAGGATATGAATGCCTGAACTTGCTGCCTGTGTTATGCTGTGCGGGAGAATAATTGGCTTTCAGTCATGTAAACTAGTCACAGACACTCAGATCCTTTGAACTCTAATAACAAATGAAATGCACACGTACTTTAAATAGTGAGTGACTAAGCATATAAATGTCTTGATCAAGTCATCAGCAAAAAACAAAAAAAACCCAAAAAAACCCAACAAACTAACAAAAAAAAAAAAACAAACCCAAAAGTGAAAAGGGGTCTTCTGTTTACATTTTTTTATTTCTGTCTGAAATCTTTATTTTACTCTCTGCATCTTTTCCATGTAATGTTCCCTGCTGAGAAGGACAGACTGGAAACACAGTAGGGAACTTTGCCTTTTAAGTTGCTCTTTGCTTTGCAGAGGGACTACATGTTGGAAGTTCCGGTGTATTTGTCCAGTGTTTTGTTTGGTATAAGAGAAACATGACAATTTAAGAAAGGCAGGAAACTATTATGTGGTAATTTTAGCTACATTTCTATTGCAAGTACTAAAAAAGTGGACAGAAGTTTAAATACATTTCTTAAGGTACGTGTATACAAATCTGTTCAGCTTTTGTGCGCTTCGGTCAGAAAATTCTGAAACAACCTTGGATGAAGCTATAAAAGGATAATTTTGAGTTGAATTTGCCACATGCCTGTTGAATTCACAGGTCATGTTTATCTAAAATGCTTCTCTAAAATTCTTTTTGTTGTCTTTTCTAAAGAGCATATATAACAGCTCCTGTGGCAAAATCAAGTTATAGCACATTTTACATGCAGGACTAGATTTTCTTCTAATGCAAACTTATGCCCCGTTGTCAAAATCAAAGGCTACAAGCTTTGCATGCTAATTGGCTCTGCCAAATAATTTAGCTTCCATCCACTGGGTTATTTTTTAACACAACAAACTGTAAATGTTATGCCTATTTTAAGCATATTTTTCTTAAAAAGCTTAGTATATTTATAGACTAATAGACAGTCTGAATGTCCTACTGTTGTTATCCATTGTTGATTTACATAATTCACCAGCTTTTATCTGTTGTTGTCTTAATTATTTCTGCATTTATTTTTTTTCTCTGTTGTGTAAAATTAATCAGACTAATATGACTCATGTTGCTTTAGCTAACACTATGGGTCCAGTCCAAAGGCTATTAAAGTCAAAGGTACTCCTCATTGACTTAGTGAGCTTTGGATAAAGTTCATTGTTTTCATGCTCTTTCCATCACTGCAGTACCAAGCAACTGAAATAACTGTTCCAAATATCAGTGTCTTTTGATACTTTGCATTTCTGTTCTGAGAAAATATCCAAGCAAATATGAATGTAACCAAAGTAAATTCTCTCCCTCTGAATACAGAATGACTATTTAACTAGATTTAATATTTTGATACCCAGTACAAAGTTTCACCCTCTGTCCCTTTCCTTTGCATACAGGTGATAGCTTAAGAAGGTTAGACTGTCTGTTAGGGTTGGAAGGAAAAAAAAAGAGTTAAATAGTCTGGTTGAAAATACTTCTGCTTTATGAGAAGGTTCTGGAGGACTTTTGTGTTTTGTTTTGCATGTTGACAGTGTTTGTAAGTTTGCCTGTAACCTTGGTGTTGAAACTGAGTGTTAATCTGTTTTCAGCTTTAGTGTTCTTGGATCCCCACTTCTCTCTTCCTCATTCCTTACAGTTCTCATAGTTTATGCATTCTTAAGTTGTCTGTCTAGGTTGCAGTGCTCTGCTTGCAAGTCTAATGGTTGATGTGTTTCATGTGTGTTTCTGCCTTGAGAGCTGTGGCAGTAGCTGCAAGAAGTATTTCTAAACATCAGCGTTGTAACACAACACATTTTTTGGGTTCACAGTGAGCAAACCAAAGCAAGAAGTTCTCTTGTTTTTCCTGTTGTCTTCCTTTTGTCTTTTTCTTGAAAGTTTTAATAAGTTAATTTCAACCTACTTGTGTCCTTCTGTGAAACTGGGAAAACCAATTGAGAAGTTTCTGCTGTCTGCTTTCTTCCTCTTTCTTAATGTTCTTACCAGAGTTGTCTTTTAAGCAAATGTTCATGCCTTGTTCTTTCTTCAGGATCAGGGATTTCTGGTGGATTACAGATTCTTTGGATTTCTGAAATCAGGGAAGAATAAATTTTGCTCCAAAACAACTAGTTCAGATGCTGTAAACGCTTCAGTGGCCTTACAGCAGATCTCTAGAGTGTTTTCCTTTTGTTTAGGCCTATTGCAGCCCCCCAGATATTTCACAACATTATTGTACTTTTCTTTGGTGAAAAACAGTTGCTTCTTGTATTTATGTGGCCCTCTGTTTTAAAAAATTGTACTGCCAGCTGTTATGATACATATAATATCATGTATTTTTACTTGAACTCAAGTATTTTTACTTGAACTCATAAAAATGCCACAAAATCATTAACAGCATCATGTGAAGAAAAAGAAATTGTGAGCTTATCTTGCTTGAGCCAACATAACAGAGTGGGCAGTTTAGGTGTTTACAGAAATGTGTACCTCATGTGACAGAAGCAAAAAAAGACAGGATAGAAGTCCCTGCAAATCGAAATCTTAATTTGTTTTGTTCTGCTTTAGCTTGTGGCCGTGGGTTCTACAAATCCTCCTCACAAGATCTGCAGTGCTCCCGCTGCCCCACTCACAGCTTCTCTGACAAGGAAGGATCTTCCAGATGCGACTGTGAAGATAGCTATTACAGAGCACCTTCTGATCCACCATATGTCGCATGCACAAGTGAGTGAGTCATGAATTTAATAGTAAAGGACGTTGCTTAACCAACCAGGTGCAGCCACTTGCAGCGAGTAGTTTTGTCTGGCTTTTCCTGGGTTTGAAAAGTACATTTGCAATGGTAAAAGAAACTGAAAGGCAGAAAAAGCGTTGACAGTGAATACAGAATCAGCATAAATATAATTTTCAAGTTTGCTTGGTACAGCTTTGGAAAACATCCCATATTGCATAAGTGCATAACTCACTGTAATAGATGTAATACAGGCCCAGTTCTCCCCAAATTGTCTCAGACAATATGCGTTATGTGATATAATACCAAAATTAGTAATGTGAAAAATGAAAAGTAGCCTCTGTGGAGCTGCACTTTGATTGAACTGTAATTGGATCTGACTTAACCTTCTAACTGCAAATAGATTGGCTGACACAGATTGGTGGTTCAAATAGTGGAAGTCTCTTAAATTCAAAATATCACTAAATATCTCTGTAAATCATATCATAGCTGATAAAAAAACTAGATGCAGCTTGTGCAGCATGTTTAGAAGAGATGAACAAACCCCATGTGGAAAACCTGTAAAAGAGAACTTTTAAGGTATATTAACTATTCCTTTTAATTATGCAGAAGAGAAACAGCTAAAAATCAGTTGCAGTAAATATACAGACAGTTGTTATTCTGGTGTCTTAATGGAAAATAAATAAAGGTCTTATCAAATGAGTTCAAGAATGCTTTTATGCAGCCTGTACTAAAAATAATGAAATGCTTATGTGGAGAAAAATTCTTCAAGTGTTTTCTATCTCAGTAATTAAAATGCTACCTGTGTGTCCCACTCTGGTTTTGTGTAATTACCCTGGACTTCTTTGTGTATTATGCAGGACCTCCATCTGCACCACAGAACCTAATTTTCAATATCAACCAGACGACCGTGAGTTTGGAGTGGAGTCCTCCCGCTGACAACGGGGGAAGAAGCGATGTGACCTACCGCATCTTGTGCAAGAGGTGCAGCTGGGAGCAGGGCGAGTGTGTTCCCTGTGGGAGTAACATTGGATATATGCCCCAGCAAACTGGATTAGTAGATAACTATGTCACTGTCATGGACCTGCTAGCTCACGCTAACTACACGTTTGAAGTCGAAGCTGTGAATGGGGTTTCTGACTTGAGCCGTTCCCAGAGGCTTTTTGCAGCTGTCAGTATTACCACCGGCCAAGCAGGTAAGCTTTCATCACTTACGAATCTCGGCACTGTGAGACTGAAGGAAATTTGGAACATGCAAACTGTAGGTGCAGTAAATCAGGAGCATGTTTAGTGTGCTCTGGCTCATTAATCTTTTCGCCTTGCCAGCTATTTAATTTGAGCTTATACTATTTCAGGATAACCTGTCCTGTTTCTTGGCCTCAGGATTGCTTTCAGAAAGCATTCACAGAAGACTTAAAGAAGATGTGCAGCTTTGTTATTAAATAGAGTTTCTAAACTTAGGAACTTTTTTTTTTATTTTGTTCTCACATAGTTAATTCTCTAGTATTTGAAGATAAAAAAATATATGTGAGAGTTCTATGCAGACTTCCTTTTTGAATTTTTAAAACATGTATGGGACTCCTAGGTCACTGGAAGATGATTTGGATTTCTGATGGTGTTTTCAGTGTTAATGTTTGCCCTCAGGACAATATTTCTGATTTATCTTATATTTCCAGATATTTGATTATGAGATGCAATGAGAATGTGATGATTATTCTTTGTTTCTTCTATTTATCATAATCTGACAGGTGAAATGTCAGGGGAAATAAAATCAAACCAGCATATCACCCCAGGGAAAAAAAGGGCTTTAGTTGTCTGCAGCTGAACAAAAAAAAAAAAAAAAAAAAAAAAAAGAATTCTCAGATGTAGGTTTCTGAACTGGCCAGTTGCTTTTTGATAAAATTGCAGACAATAGTATGCTGTGTTCCTAAAGGGAGGATAGTAAAGTTAACCTTTTGTGATTTTAACAATCTTAAACAAAATATTATTTGCAAGATCTGGCTTCTAAAGAAATATTAAATAGTATTTTTACTATTACTTTTCATGGTAAAAGAAAATATAAAGTGAATAACTAATGTGATTCTTCCTGTAAGAACAGCTGACTAATATTTTAAAGGATACCTCATACTTATGTCGTAGAGGAAATTTCAATGACTGTGAATCATGGGTTTGTTTTTTTTAGTGCAGTAGAAATGATCCCCTAAAGTAATGTTTTGAACTAAGAACAAACTCACCAAACAGGGTAAACAAACAAGAAAAACTGTAATTATTTTGGACTTTAAAGATAATAATCTCAAAAAAAAAAGAAGGGACAAGAGATTTAGTTCAAAACCTTCCTTCCTTCCTTCCCCCCAAATTTAGGATAGTTGATATGGTTGTTGAAGGTAGGCTGGAGTGTTTAATCTCCCTATAGTGCTTTTATGGATTCCAAGAGCACGTTTTACATTATTTTGGAGCCATCTCTGTGGCTGAAAGGATTGGTCTCTATGTTCATTCAGTTCTTGAAGTTTATTATGAGATTTTCAGCACAGAAAACTTACTCTGAGACTATTTTTGTACCACAGATGTTATTATTTTGGCACCATGATTTTTCATCTTCAAAATAATTCTCTAAACATGCACAGGTGGACAGTGTTCTGCTCTCTGTAGATGACTGTACAGAGCTATCACATGAAGAAGAGGATTTGGACTTCTTCCTATTTAGCTGAATCAAATTGGCTTTACTTTATGTGCTTTGATGGTTCAGTGTCACACAGGGTAAAGGAAGAACCAGTGCAATTTAGTGGCTAGTACCACATCTCAAGGAGATGAAAAAGCCTTTATCAAAAGTTTGTTGTGTTTTCTCCAGGACAGCTCATTATTGTTCATCATTTTGTGTTGTCATAGTCAAGGATTTAGAGGGCTTTTATTAGGCCAGAAGCTATAATATGGTTATCCTGTTCTATCTTAACTGTAACACAAGCTGCGTGATTTTATGAAATGATGCTCGCATCCAGCCCAGAGATGTTAGTGAAACTATAGCTTGCATATATATTAGAGGCAGCATCTAGACTTTACTAAAGATGTAGTCAAAAATCTTCAACATCCTGGACAAGCTTTGTAAGAGCATGAGGTGGGAGATCTGACTCCATTCCTTCCCTACTCTCTGGTTTCCTGTGGGATTACACACAGACCAGCATTTCCCAGGATTTGACACTGTTTAGAGAAAGGGTATGACTGAAGCTTTGCCTGTTTAGCACTTCTGAATGTAAAGATTTAGAGGCTTCCAATTTGGCATCTAAATGGAATATACGTGGAGGATGGATTTTGGAAGAAAAAAATTACTTTAAGCTCTTTTTGTTGCAGTTTTCTCTGTAAAACGAAGGTAACCTTCATTTTTCCTTACCAAGCTTTTCAAGATTTTCTGATTAGAAGTGGCACATAAATGCAGATTTTTTTTTTTTCACAGAATCACAAAATTTGTGTTAAAGAAAATACAGACGTTCAGAACAAATGCATTTAGCAAAAGACCTCTTCTACATTATTTTTGCAACAGCATGTTTTGGATCCTAATACTGATTTCTTTGGTTTCTCAAGGAGGAAAATATTTTAGGTGGAACAGATTGATGACTATAATTGAACAGAAAGAGACTGGTTGCTCAAAGGAAACTGTTATGCTTCTGTGTTTCTCTTTTATTTTACTATAGAGAGAAAGAAAATGTTGGATTTATTTATAGCCAAGTAAACTAGGATTCATGCAGCTCTTATTTGTTCCTGTGTGACTGTTCTATACTTCTGGAAAAACTGACTTTTTTCTGTGCCCATATAGCTTTTTATGTGTGTAAATGTGTCTAACTAAACCTTCTTCACATGTTATTATGCTAACACAATAGGTGGCTATATATAATTACTGGGTTCACCAGTTGCACAGAGGATTGCAATGAGATTTTCCCTTTGTAGTTTTGGTTTAATTGAATTGCTCCTTTGTGTCCATAGTCCCAAAATTCAAATCATTGTGTAATGATAACAGGAAATTATTGATAAAAGAATGGGGTTATAGAATACATTCAGTGTTTCTTCGCCCACATATAACAAGCTTCTGATGAGACAAAGAGAGCATGCCACATAAAAGAGCCAGGTGGTGGATAAAAACTTATTTGTATTTGTGGAAATAATACTATAAAATGACTGCAAGTGGGTAGGTATCATTTCACATCACTTTATATATATACTTATATATATACACATATGACACATTGCTGTTCATTCCTTGTTTTAAAAAGACTTTGTGACTAGGCTATCAATTGTCATGCGGCTTATTTTTGTGCTTCAGCCAAGAACCATGAGGCTTTTGGTTTTGCTTTGTTTTCTTTTTTTTTGACAAGATTAAGTACACAAAGTCCCCTAGGAGTAAACCATCTTGTTTCATATCTTGCCTATCCCACATCATATAAGAAATACAGGATGTCATCCCAGTACTGCAAGCTGATCTATGGGAACCCCTGCATCCTTGTAGAATTCAGATTTGAATGTGAATAAACTCTAGTTACAATAAAAAAAATAAAGAGCTGCACCTGGCGAAGAGCTGACAAGCCCTACCTTTGGAAGAATGGGTTTTTACCAAATATAAAATTGACCACTTCCTTGATAAGATATTCCCCTTTCAGTTGCACTGGTAGTTCCTTTGGATCCATCAAATTCCTTACCAAATTTTACATTTTTTCCATACAACACCCAAAAGGTGAAATTGGGTAGGTTTCACTGCAGATGAATATTTGTTGTATTTTGGCATTCATGCTTTTTCATTTTACAAAATACGCTTCAATAATAATTTTATATTTTTTCTTTTGACATTTTTGCAAAGATAGTGTGTTTTTAAAACTGTCTTTCTGCATCCTTTCCTTTAGGATCTTTCTGAATTAACAATGGCCTCATCTCTGGAAAGGAGTTATATACACCCAACCTTCCCTGGCCTTGATAAAACTTAGGTTATTTTGAATGAATACCAAGATTTATCAGGGTTTGAGAAAATATGTGTCCTGAGCCAGTTTAAATTGTCTTTATAGTCATTGAAAAGAAAAATCACATCCAAGGGGACTCTCATCATGCCTTATTACTGTAACTAAGACAAACAGAAGTAAAATGTGATGCCAATAACTGTCCCTACATGTACTCATTGCTTTTGGGCAGGGACCACTTGCTAATGCTTGCTGCTTCTTCACAGCAAGAAAAAGGTGCCCCATAGCACTCTTAGGTCATGCTGTGCCTTCAGATGCACTTAATGCTGACCACTTCAAGTGGTTTAAAAACCCTGATCCAGTTCCATAATCAAGGCTTACTCTTGAAAAATATTTTTTTTTAGTAACAATTTCCTTTGCGTATGTTGATTTGCTGCTATTCCATTTTTACATCTTAGTTTTAAGTTTTAAGACCTTTTCCTACAAAAAAAATCCAAATTTCACAGTTAAAGTTAAAAAAAAGAAAGCTGAATTTGTGAAATTGGCATTAACCCAGCAACTTGAACTGAAAAAAATATTGCATGCTATAAAATCATGGCTATTATCAGCAGCACCGTTGATTTACATGACAAGAAGAAATGGCTGAATGCATAAATGCAAATCTATGGGATGGGTTCTGCCCTTTCTTAGATAATTCTGAAGTCTCTCTAAGTAAGAGAGACACTTCACATTCTCTCATGTTACATTCTCCTTTTATTCTTGCTGCTTATAATTTTTCTTTTCTTTGTTTCTTTACTCTTTTTCCCAGCTCTCAATTATCACTACTCATTTTTTAAAGTCTCTTCTTTCATAGCCTCTGCACTACTGACCATCTCCTTGTTTCCTGTTCCTGTCAGTCCCACGTAAGCCTGGCTTTTCTTCAGCAATGAGCTGTCCCCCAGCAGAGGCAGCAGGCAAGAGGATTGATCCTGCAGCTTTCCCAGTCACTGTGCCCTCAGTGTTCTAGTCCTGTTCTCACTTCCCTCCTTTCACCAGGCCATTTTGGTTTCTTCCCATAGTGCCACCAAGTTGTTTTAATCTACCTTCATCTGCATCTTCCATCCAATGTTCACTTCTGGTGCTACATGACAGCTTATTACAAATAGCTTCAGTGTTCAACTAAACATTTCTTCAATGTTTTCCCATTTCAGTGGACTTCATTTAGCTATAGGTTCCCTTGGCTATTTCCTGCTAATGACTTTACTTTTTGAGCTATGCTT